CCCCACAATAACGTGTGATGAAGGCAAGTAAAACAAACTTACTCACCCTTCACCAAGTTTTTCCAGGACATCAAATACTTCCTCTGGTTGCTTGGTCAAGCTGTCTTCACTCATCTTTTTCAGCTTACTGTCAGGGAAATATATATATATGTATATATAAACAACATTAAAAAGGCTAGTCTTTCATACATTTATAGTGAATCATAATTAGTCACTGATAAGATATCAAAGCTTTGGTTCCACTTACTATATGAGTGAGTATGAATCACAAAGATAAGTTAAACAAATATCTAGTTTAAGTGATACAATAAGGTTCTGCAATATTACTAGTTATTTCTCGTAATAACCTACAGAAGTGTTGAGAAGAGCGACAAAGCTAACTACAACTAGCATCCCTGACTAGCTCCCCACCTAGCAAGTCACAAAGCTTGAAATTACAACCAACAGCCGTCAGACGTTCACAAACCTTTTCGGGGCAGACTGCTCCATACTTTCGAGTCAAGTGATACAAATGGCGCCGGAATGGTGTTCGGTTGCGGTGATTTTCGTCTTCTATGATCACCGAAAGAACATTGTCAACGTCGTTGTTGTCTCAAGAAATTAGTAGCTTGTGGCGAGTGAGGTCCACTAGTTAATCGTGTCTTCTGACCAATCACGAGGCCCGTTGCTTCGTGGTGAGTGTAACACTACGAATCCGCGTTATTGAACACAGACCCACATTGAGCAGAACGACCAGTTTCTGGGATACGTAAGGGCATCAACCATTTTGAATGTGTCAAAACCGCCACGTAAAGTAATGCATGTCAAGGGACTGAAGTTCATAAAGAGACAACTAACAAAGTGCACAATGTTACCGCCTTGTCATTTTCCCATTAAAACACATACTAATATATTTAGGAAACAGATAGGCGCTAAAAAAACAAAAAAAAAACAAAACGTACACATGTAACTTCCAATTATTAAACATGTATCATCGCTGTAACAGTGTTACATGGTTGGGATAAACACTCATGCAACAACATGTGTTTTTACATTGTCTTTTTATGCTTCTGCCTTGTACTCGCCACCACGTTTTTATTTTATCCAGTTTTATTTTGTTAGCTTATTTTAATATATGTTGTTTGCCCATTTATTAGTTTTTGTAACCCTGTAACGTGGTTTTTCAATCAGGTTGTTTTGGCGTCTGTAAATGAGTCTTTCTTCTGTTAAATACAGTACATTTTTAGGGGAAAGGGGGTGAGTGTTATTAGTAATCCACACGCCGTCCGTTAGGAGCAGTAGCGCCAAAGTTTTATTTGTGCCAGTAGAGAAGAAGCACTGGATCCGTGCTAATCGCCGATAAACAAGACGAAGAAGAAAAGGAGCGGTGCGTGGATCCAGACTATGAAAAAAACTCTTGTATTTGGCGCAGTCTAAATTTTGAGTGAAGGCAGAACATATTATTTAACAAGAATGAATCATAACCTGTTGAGTGAAGGCAGAACATATTATTTAACAAGAATGAATCATAACCTGTTGATTTAAGTCAGAAAGGCCAAGTTGGCTGGTTCCTGTTCGCGGCGGCTAGCGGCCTACGCTAAGTAGAGGTAGCATACTTTACTTCGTCCGCTGCTTCTTTGCGCCGATTCGACAGGAGAAGCGCATTATTTCATATCCATGAGGCTCTGGATTGAAAAGCTTTGAGGGAAAAGTGGTGGTATCCCTGCGGGATAGCAGCACTCGATACCGTCCGCTAACATGTCTTTAGTAGCCTACGGCAGCAGCGATGACAGCGATGGTGAAGGAACGTCTTTGAAACAAGGCTCAGGGGGGCTCTTCTCCCTCCTGCCAGCCCCCCAAAAGCCATCTGGGGCGGACAGGACGTCGAGTGACGACCTCCGACAAGGCAAGACGACCTTATTGTCAGGTTTGCCTAAACCCAAGAAGCGCACAGAACCTGTGAGGATTACCGTACCGCAAATCGAGAAGCATGACGTGAGTGTTGTGATGAGAGCTGACAGACGTTGATGAAGAAATGATCGATCATCATCATTCTTAATGTTGTTTTTAGTCAGACTCGGATGACGACGAACCAGTAAAGAAGAAACTCCAGTCCCAGGTAGGAAGATCTCCATTTCGTCTTGGATGTTCAAACTGCTTTCAAGGCGTTTCTGTCAAGACTTCTCAGTGCAAGGGACAAGAAGTTGATAGTTGAAGAATGGATTGCCCAATCTGATCAGTTGAACATCAGGCACTTGTTCATCCCCGTGGGTGTTAAACTTCACACCAGTTTCGCTGCTCCTTTTCCATTTAGGGCGCAGGTAGCGGTCTGTCTTCTCTCCTGCCGCAACCCAAAAACCTGACTGTGAAGGTGACCGACAGACCTTTAATTCCCCACACGCTCACCAAGCGGCCGGATCCCAAAGGAGTCAGTCCGGGCACTCCCACGCCTGGCCTGCTGGGCCCCAGCGCATCCCCCTCTGCAATCAAAGCGGCAGCCAAGTCGGCGGCACGGCAGCTGGCCAGACAGATTGTAGTCACGGACGAACACGAGGAGGACATCTCGCCGCAGAATTACTTCTCGTTGGGTGAGAGCCCCGAGCCGCCGCCTCCGGCCGTCATTCCAAGTTACGAACCTGAGCCCGTCGTTGCCGCGGTGGAGCCGCTCCCCGCGCCGCTTCCTCCGCCGCCCCCCGGTGACGAGCTGGGTCAGTCGGATGCCCCCCTCGACTTTGGGGCAGGGCACGAGGCGGCTGCCGCGTGGGGGGGCCCGTATCCACACTATCAGCGGCCCCTGGCGGGGCCCAAGGACTGGAGAAGCCGGTAACTCGGCCATGTTTGATGATGAAGCGGTAAGGAATCTTGGCTATTTTCTCCCTTTATAAAAAATATGTAAATAAAGAAATAAAACAACAGTGGAACATCCCAAAATACCTCAAACAGAGCAGAAGGGTACTTACTACTGGTGGCAAATTTGGATCATGCTAAATTTAGAATGGCAAATGGAATTCAGCACGACAAACGCTATTTTTGACGGAAAAACAGGCAAAGTATTATAACTGTAAAACAGGAAACTAAATTTACTGCAACAATGACAGCCACAGAACAGAATAAGAACGAGTGGTGCGAACCATAAAACAGGAAATGGAATTTACTGCACTCGATAAGCAATATCTCTGTCCTGTGTGCAGTTCATGCGGCTTCAGGGCAAAAGGAACCGAGGGAAAGAGGAAGTGAAGTTCCTGGAAATTAAGGGCGACGACCAGCTGAGTGGCCACCAACAGTGGATCACCAAAAGCATGTCGGAGGAGAAGCAGACCCGCGGGTCTTTCAGCAAGGTACAACCCAGAACCACTCCCAAGAACTCGTCCAGCAATAACCAACTATTTCTGACTGAAGCTGTTTTTCCCTTGCAGAAAAGGGGAGGAATGCCCACAGGACAACAGAGGCGCAAGCACCAGATTACATATCTCATCCACCAGGTGAGGCAGCCAAAACTTCCGCATGGCCATATATGGTCAGCGTTTCCTCTAGCGGCAAGTGCCTGACCACATAGATCAGAGGTCGAGGATGACAAAATGTCCGCCCTCTTGTCACGTACCCAGCGTGCCATGGTTTATGTGTGCGGTCGTGAGGGCACCATCCCAATTTAATCGCCCACCAACATGACCTGTAAAAAGTAGTAACGGCAACAATTTTCGCATGGGGCGCAGACAGCAGGGTTTTGCAAATTGATGCCCCGAAAAGAACTCTAAAGTCTTTTTCCCCTCAGGCGAAGGAACGTGAGCTGGAGCTGAAGAACAGCTGGGCGGAAAACCGGATGACTCGCCGGCAGACCCAGGCCAAATACGGCTTCTAAGCACCATGCCCTTTGGGAGTCTGGCATGAAGGAGACTGGCGCTTTCTGTAGATTAAAAAAAAAAAAAACAAAACAAGAAAAACCCGAATGCACATTTTCCTCACCCGTTTGTTCATGACTCCTTTTTAAAGTAAACAAAGTTCTCTTCCAGACACTTGTGGGTGACTTTTAGATACCGCTGGGTTGTAAATGTATTCCTTTGTACTGTATGTATTTGCGCTCATGTAACAAACATTTTGTGTTAGTCTCGGTTTAGTGAAAGGACATCACGCTACCCAGGAAAGGTGCCAGCGCATTCACATTCGACTGGAGACATATTGATGTGGAATTTTATAATAAACATGGTGATGCACACCAATGTCAAAAGTTCTTACTGGTCCTTCGAAAATACACGCAAAGCTCATTTGTTATACGACGGTCTCAGCTTGGCCGCTAAAGAGGATTTCTGCCAGGACTTTAAAAACAACCAGGATGAGCATGTATTACTCCTTGCTGTGGCGAGGGTTCCGCTCAAGACAGGAGTGCCTACCACGTCTTGGGTTGGCTTATCAGTGACTTGAAATTCATTAGTGGAGAATTTAATCCCCGCTGGAAAACAAAAAACCTTTCACATATATTATGATACACACACACACATTTCTCTGAATTTAATTACCTTAAATAGTTTGGGCTTTAGAGAGCCTTTACATCTTTAAAATCATGACAAAAGATACAGCCATACTTTATAGACCCCCCCCCTTTAAAAATGTGCCCTTCAATTATAACGTACCCCATGCATTGAGATGCGTTTTGAAAAACCTAAACCTTTGTTTGAAACTAACATGGGCTTCTAACTAACGGTACAACAATTTACCCCCACCCTCCACAAACATTTTTAAGGCAAAATACTGTGAAAGAGTGCCCCTGCCCAAAAAAAAAAAAAAAAAAAAACTAAATAAAAACCTCCACATTTAGTTTGGGATCAGACACCACCTGCTGCGCTGTCCTCTTCAATAAGATGAGCAGTTCCGTAGGATGTGGGGCGGCTGGGCATCAGCCGGTGTCTCGCTGTGACCGTCGTGCAGCAGGTCAGCATCAGGAAGCAACCGCAGCAGCTCAGCGAGACCGTGGCGGCGGCCCACACCAGTGTGGTGATCACGAAGGCGAAGTTGTAGGTGGTCCTGTGGCAGTACCGGCCTTTCCAGGGCGTGAAGCTGGGCGGATAGGCGCCGTAGACCCAGGTGGAGCCTGCAATGGGCAAACGAAAGGCCAAAACCCGCTCAGGAGGACGAGCGCAATCAAAGACAACTGGATGGCACCGGATTGGTTTCGCACCTGCGACCAACCAGCAGAACGTGAAGAGGTGTAGCAGGGTCATGCAGACGGAGATGAGCGTGCGCATCATGCCCTCCTCCCAGATGCAGCGGCAGTAGGTCAACGACAGACCCAGTAAGCTGGACACGCCCAGAACCACAAGGTAGACGGGGATTTTGGCCTGCGCCGGGCACTGGCTCAGATGAGTGGCACCTGTTGACAGCGCAAAACAATTAGTGAAGACCTACGAGCGTTTGAAAAGTGAGCCTACCCAAACAGATGCCTGCGATCATCACCAAACACCACATGATGTTGGTCACCACTGCGAGAAAGCGGACAAAGGTTAGGATGAACGTCAGGGAGATCGACACAACCGTGAGAGAAAAGTTCTGACCGATGGATGAAATGGAAACGTCAGCGTGAGGCATGCGGTCCATCTGTGAAAAAAAAAACAACAAAAAAAAAAAACCCAACAACATTTAAACAAGCCCGAAAAGCATCCGCCGCTCTGATTCTGAACGATGCGACTGCGGCATCGGTTAGCTTTGACACAACTCAGGATGTGAGGACATGTGCAAAGTCATTGCAACTGTGTAACGAGAGAGGAAGAAAAACAAAAAGGAAATCAGTTTGGTCGCATCGAAATGTGGATAGAAACAACGTCACATAGTTAAGACAATAGCAACTGACACACGGCTTGGTTTTTATTTCAATTTTTTTTCATTTTTATTATGTTGTTTCAATGAGTTGTTTGAGCAGCTGTTTTTTTACTTTCTATTTTGGGGAAAATGATTGAGCTTCCATGTTTTATACGAGTTGTTTGTCAAGTACAAAATGAAAGAAATGGAATATATAATCAACTATAATATCAAACGTCATTTCAGTTTCCATTTTTTAAAAAGCATTTTCTTATCTGAATTTGTTAGTTTTTTTTTCAAATTTTTCTCCAAGTTTTGGGGTCTTCGTTAGTTTTCGTTAACCATAATAACCTTGACATACAATCAAAGTTACGTTAGTGACCGCCATTTTAAGAAGACAATGGCTCGATCCGCAAGTGTTCTTTGACAATAATGTCAAAACAATCCACAGAGGTCCTTTTAGTGTCCTTTAGTCCTGTTTGTGGTTGTCACTTGTTGGCGATGTCACGCCCTCCTCTTCCATTTGGTGCTTCACGTTCTCAGCGGCCTGCTGGCGCCGCTGCGCCTTCAGGAGGCGCTGATGACTAGCCGAATGGTCCTCATAGGGGACCAAGGACATGGGGACGCGGACCGTGTCCATTCCGTTTACCTGTAAGAACACATAGACACTTTTTACTTAATTTGTGTGTGTGTGTGGTGGTGGTGGGGGGGGGGGATATCAAGTCACAATAATCTTCTTACCGTTACATCACACCAGTAGTCGCCCAACTCTGTGATGGGCTCAAATGGAAGCTTCAAGGCATGAGGAGGCACCACCACGATCAACTAAAAATGAAGATAATATTCAGGACATCTGTTAGTCTTTTTTAAAAACAAAAATCTACTCTAGGTCTAAAAGTGTCGCAACCTTTACACTTTTTTTCCCACATACCTGCTGAAGAAACCGCCTCCTCACCACCTCACTAGTCAGTTTAAAGTCTTCCGAGGGCATTTTGTTGATTCTCAGCTTGCAGCGCTTCAGGTACTCCACTGTCTGGGAATTTAAGGAATAATCATCACCATCATCATCACTTTATTGCTAAAAATACTGATCATTAACTAAGAGGTATGGTGCAATCCAGTGGTGTTTAGGGGGTGCAAGTGAGATACATAAATAGTATTGTTTTACAGACTTTCCTCCATCCTCACAATGCATCCCCCCTCCAAAAAAAAATTAAAATAAAATAAAGTCACAGCCCCTCCTAAAATGTTTAGTTGCCTATTTCAATTGCTTAAACCACAAATAAACTGGATACTACAGATTGTCACTACAACACCTTACGATGATTTCAAACTCATCTTAGAACATTACACTGACAGTGACTACGTTCCCTTAGTTTTACACTGACTTACCAGTTGTCCTGTTCGGGTTTGGACTCTTTCATCAATGGTGCCCTCACGCAAAAGCTGAACACAATAAAAAAGAGAGGCCAGCGTTCAATTATCACATTACATAACACTATTGTGAAGCCCCCTCTCATAGGCGTACCCTTAACTCCTCCGCGAAAATCTGCTTGTTCTCTGGAGACGGATACACGGCAAGCCCCTGGGCCAGCAGCTTTTTTCGTCCCACTGACTTTTTGACAAACACCGTTTCTCCTCGACCACCCAACTCTGTCAAAAAATAGATCAAATTTAAGAAATATTTTTGTTGTTGTTTTCTTATTGAATGCTGGGGGTGAGACTCACTGGGGACATTCTGTGTGAGGATGAGCTCCATCTTTTCCTTGGGAGCATGTTTTGTGTCCTCCACCAGCTTGTAGATGCGGTGCCTGCGAGGGTGCAACCTCGGGGGGCTGCCCAATTTGGACAGGGGCACCTCCCACCAGCGCTCCACCACCACGGTGCTCTGGAAAAAACGGATATGCAGGTTACCAACGCAAAAAAAAAGTCATCTGAACTGATCCAATGAGAGTTCCTGACGATCAGTGTTCAGGCCTCTGAGGTAGTGATAGCGGGCTGCCAACCAAAAATTAAGGAAATTGGGACTTTTATCGATGATAATTTGCTTTCTGGGCGGCCCGGTGGTCCAGTGGTTAGCGCGTCAACCTCACAGTGCAGAGGTGCATGGAGTTTGCATCTTCTCCTCAGGCCTGCATGGTTTTTCTCCGGTTTCCTCCCACATTCCAAAAACATGCATTGCAGTGCTGATTGAGTACTCAAAATTGTCCCGAGGTGGGAGTGTGAGCGTGGATGGTTGTTCGTCTGTGTGTGCTCTGCGATTGGCTGGCAACCAGTTCAGGGTGTCCCCCGCCTATTGCCCGAAGACAGCTGGGATAGGCTCCAGCACCCTCGCGACCATTGTGAGGATAAAGCGGATCAGAAATTGGACGGATGGATTTTGCTTTCAGAGCACTTTAAAGTGCCCTTGTGCAAGGCACCTGCCATAGTAGTGCGTTATGTCGCGCGTGTGTACGTGTCTGTGTATGCGTGTATCCGGCTTACGCAAAACATAGCGTAATGAAAGATTCACATAAGAGATTAAAATAAAGCAGACGCTGACCTGGACAGGAGTCACAGAAAACCCCCGGGTAGTGATTTGGTCGAGCAGATACCCAAGGGCACGACGGCCGGAGCTCAACATCTCGAACGAGCGTATACAAAGCGATAATTATCAGTTTCGTCACAATACTTCCTAAACACGTGTTTTTAAAAAGCGCTTGTTCGTAATCTGTTAAATCATCAAACGTTTATTGCTTAAAAAAATCTAGTGGAAAGTACGCTGATGGTAACGTGAGGACCTTATTGAAATAATAGAGGTCCAAAATATTGCCTGAGTAAAAACTGCTTTAAACTGAAAAAAAAATCTCTCCATTTATACTAACTATAAATTCGTAGTAATTCCTAATATTTTCTAATGTTAATACGCTTTTTCGTGCCAAACTTAAGTAAAAAGCAAGTAGATAATCGATGATAGTGTTTTCGAAAACCCCCAACTGAACGAGTAGTCCCGAAAATAGCCTGAATTAAAATGTATTGCACTTTCGAGATAATTTAAATATATTTTATATTCTCGTTAATCAAAAAATAATGTTCGTATTGTAAGTTGAGAGGTTCGTAGTTTTTCAGTGGATAGCTCTACTTTAAAAATGGGCAAAAGGAGAGATGGAATCCTTTGAAGGCAGTTTTTATTTTCCCCAACGTCTGCACCTCCGAACGAACGAACAAGAACACACCTCCTTCCCGGAAACACCAAACACTTCCTGGTTTCCTTAACCAATCATATAATATCAACATAAACTTGTTTAAGCAATTATTAAACGGAATATAACCTAGGTAACTGCAACACAAAATAACAAAATGCTCTAATATAAAATGAAAATAATTATTAATTTAACATAAGCTTACATTCTTCCCCCTCCCACCAGAGAAATGTCCTCATTTCTACTTTGATTACTTAACTGTAGAATCCAGGTTACAACAAGTTAACAACATTGCACAGGGGGGTTAAAAAAAAAGGGCATCAGGAACATATAATCAAATCAGAACTAAGTCTTTGAAACAAGACGAAAGTTTAAACTTCACGGCGGCCTGGGCGTGTGATGGAACTGGAACTTAACCCCATTGCTGCAGGCATTTGGTCCACAACAGCAGATCTTTTGGAATGATGAGGTTGCAGTCACTGTCTTCCTAGGTGCTCTCTGATGTGGAGCAGGATTGCGTCGAGCATCACATGGCACAAACTTCTGGCACCACTCACGAATATCTCGAGACATGAATGGCCAGTAGCACAGTACCTGAGTACGCTGAAGAAG